TTTTAGTGTGTTGCAATTAAGGTAGTCAATTTTTATTTTACATAATTATCAGCGATTTAGTAATTACTACAAATGACACCTCATAGTGCAGTACCAGTAGAATGATCAGCGTGTGGTCAGACATGTGACAAATATTCTTTTATTGTTACTTTTGCTTCACGTGTTTCGTTCATTCGACTAATACACCGAACAAACATTTATCTCAATAACGTTTCGAAAAAATTCTGCGAGTAGTATATCGAGTAAGTTCTTCGAGTAATATATCGCATAAGTTCTTCGAATACAATTTTATTCGAATAATATTTCGAATGAATTCTTCAAGTAATATCTCGTATAAATTCTTCAAATAATATATCGAGAAAATACATAGAATAATAATCGAATAAATTCTTCGAATAAAATTTTATTGGAATAAACTCTCACGAATAAAATTTTATTGGTTATTCGAATAAAATATACCAAACTCTGCGTATATTGCTAACTATTTCATGAATATCCTGCTGGAATGCCACGCTGCGTGCGTTCGGATTTCCGATTTTTCATAAAAACGCGATTTATCGGGAAAGATAAAAATGCGCGATAAGAGCGTGTTCCAGTTTCGAAGGTATTACGACCAGGAGAACCGCGGGAATCGTCACCGATGCATTTCTTCGCGCGACGTTCGATGCAAGTTCCCCGAAATAGCAATGGCCCCGCGACATCCTAAAGTATGCTTCCTCGCAGGCATCTCGAAAACGTAAGATACATCTTGCCCGCGCAATAGCGCCGATGTATCGACAGCAATGCAAATTGATATCGTAGCACGGACAAAGCCGACACATAGCGAACGATGCAGGGATGGATGTCGTCGACGTTCGCTGAGCATTCTTCGGCACGTGCCAAATTGCGGCGTCGAGATTCCGGTGCATTAATGCACCGGCATTATTTAAATTTCTTGCCAGCCAGGGACCGGGAGGCCAGCCAAATCTCGTCGAAGAACAATGGGTCAGATAGTGGGAATTTATTTAGTTTAAATGCCACTAAACGCCTCGCTCCTGGACGCGTTATGGAGTCCTGCGATACTTTGGCTTGATAAATATACTCGTAGGCGGTATCCTGCTGCAAACATGTCGAACGATTGAATCCAGACGTATTATATTGTCACGCTTTAAGGAGATCTTCAATCTACTTTGTTCCAGGAGAATTAATATAAATTTATTTACATTAATAATAATTGATAACAGTAATGGAATATTTATTATTATTAGTAGTATAAATTAATAATAATGACGAATAGTATGAATTAATAATACTAATAAAATATTTATTATTAGAAGTATAAATTAATAGTAATGACGAATAGTATGAATTAATAATAATAATGAAATATTTATTGTCATCAAATGATGCGAACGTAAATGATTATGCGAAAGTGTTAGACTTTTGCATTGCTTAAAAATTGTTTAAGATTTTATTGCAAAAGCCTAACACTTTAAAATTGTTTAAGATTTTATTAACATCATGACCCATGAGAATTCGAATTATTCTTTACACATAACATCGTTTAACACCATTCTTGGATTTCTTTTTTTATTTCTTTTTATTTTATTAATACAAACGAATTATTCGTTTGATTAAGATCACTATAGTACGCAAGAATTCTCGATTCTATTATTAACTGTGGACTACTTATTTACCTCATACTAAAGGTTATTATTTTAATAATACTTAAACATTGTATATAAAATGAATATTCCATTATCGATTTATAATGTTTCACACTGTTTTACACTTTGAGATCATTGAATTATGTCTGACTAGGTCGATGAAAGGTCAGTCTGTGCAATGATCGATCGTTCACCTGCTGTTTATTTTGAAGTTTTACGACTTTCACGCGTTTTTCCTCGGCAAATTTACTTCTGCAGTTAAGTTTTCACTTTCTGTAGTTGAAAGAACTCGACAGCCTTATGGACAAGTTCCAAACTTCGTGACCCATTCTTTCTTCCAGACACCAAGGTTATTTCACTTAAATTTAAACTTGCGGCATTTTAACTCTCCAGTGTACGATTAGGATCACAGGTACCCTTTTTTATCCATACCGTTATTAATGAATGCAGTTTTCCTGCAGAATATAAAATAGTAGTTCTATCAGACACAGTGAGTAACTTCAATATTTGGTCAACACAACGTTTTTACTTTGTTTCATTATAATTTTCTTCATAACAGAAAAGAGAAAACATATTCAGATATAATATGAAGCCACTGGGTCTAGTTAATAATAGTACAAATTTTATTTTGCATGACTTACAACATTTCTTAAATAAGGAGTTTTTAATGCAACAATGTCTTATTTTAGTTTAACTTTAACGTTCGGATACTTCAAAATGTAAATGAAAATTTTCTGTCTATTTATAATTAAGAAGTGATTTTACAGGGTAACTTGCTTGACTAATAATTTCCTTCAAACTTACACTAATCCAAAATGTACACTGGAGACTTACTAAACCTCTTTCACAAAATTGAGAAAGGATTGTTTAAAGTTCGTTCATTATTTTCTCCAACAGAGGCATTTTTGTACAGATTCGTTTATTCCAACTTCTAAGGAACAACGTACAAGCACAGAGCAGAAATAAATATTCACGATTTGCAGAGAGAAATATTAGAATCGATATTATCCTAAATAGATTAATCGATGCCTGTGACTAAGAAAGTAAAAAGCAACTGAAGTAGCTGGATCGTGTTTCAGAATCTCCGGCAAGTAATTACGCCAGTTAATGTGCATACTTAATCAGTGTGCTAGTTGGGTATTTTATAGTCGAATGCTCTCTGGTTCTTGGTTCACTGCAGTTGGTTGAACTGCAAGTTATATGGGAGGACCTTAGGAGGGAATATATTTAGATGTAGCGTGCCAATAAAGTTCCGCGTGTATTGATCCTAGATCGTGTTTACTTTGTAAACATAACAACGTTTTATGCAGTGTTTGGTATATAACATTAAGCTGACAACAGAAGCTTCCATGGGACAATACACTCGAAGTTATACAAATAAGTCTAAGAACCGGTATTATTAGGATTATCGTGATTTTCTTTTTAAAAATATATACACTTAGACATAAATGAAATTAAAAATCTTTGACAGAAAATAACAAAAATAAGCATCGCTTTCATTTGTTCTAGTAAAAATGAAAGGAAACTTTCTTGTGCAATTTAATAATGGCTTAAATTTCTTTTTTAAAGGTAAAATTTAGAGGTGCATATTTATAATATTTTTCTAAAACTGAGCGCTCACGGAAGACAACATATTGTTCAATACATTGTTTTGAGCATTTGTGAAAATTTGATCAGAAACGTTACGCGCATAATTTAATTCTTGGAGAATAATCAATTGTGCTAGAACGTATTGGAAATTGTTTTACACTGAAATTTGGTAAACGTTACCTGATCCAATGACATATCCAATAATTTACAAGTACGCCGCTTAGATAATATTTTATAATCACATTGGATGTCGTGTAATTTTTATATATACAACACAAGTGACAATAGAAGTTAGTATGGTAAATAGTGTTCTGTTATTTGTAGTATAAGAACATTTTAATATGTTTCTGTGATTGATGGTTAATAATACAAATAGCATATTGTAGTTTCAATTCAATTTACTGCTAGTCTAACACGTTCTGTTATTGTTTGTGTTATTACGGATGTTTATGTGTTCACTTGTGGACCGCATTAATCACAGTAAATTAGTAGAACGTAGATAATTTATAAAATTAATTTCAAGAATTTCAATCGAACTTGACTTTTTATTAACTGAGATCATTTGCCTGTATTATTTCACAAGTAAAATAACATTTCAATAAATTACGATCATTCTAACGATATTTATTGTTGATTTGCATAAACATCCGTAGTACAGTTATTATCGTTAGAGTATGCGCATGGGTTACCAATGTAGCTCGTAATTAGAATGTTTTTCATCAATTGTTATTTCTACACAATTCCTACAAATTTGCTAAGAATTGCTTTATAGAAGACTGGGGTTATTAATAAATGTTGTTTAAATATTCGTTTTTAAAAGATTTTGTAGATCTGTAGAAAACTAAACAGGGTGTCCCAGCAGTTTCTCGTAACATTTTATCAGTAGATTCTAGTAAAAGTAAAAATAAGAAATAGATATTATATGAACAGAGATTTTTAAATGCTCTATTTTTTAAATAGTTACGACGAAAACCTAAAATGATAACGGACTGTTTCTCGCAGTATTCCACTATGAAATCGTACAGCGTAAACGATAGATATCGACAAATCCGATATCGAGCAAATTAACGATCCCAGCAAGTAAACGTTAGAGTTTATGGAAACATGCGAAATAGATAACGGCAATGTGATCGTACGCTGTGTCCACGAAACACCAGTCCGTTTTCATTTTCTACTTTTATTATAACATTCTAATACAGCATTTAAAGCCAATGTTCATGTGACATTTTTTCTTATTTTTACTTGTAGTTACGAATTGGCTTCGGAAGGGGTCTGTTTATGAACGCAGGATGTCCCAAAATTATGGCACTTCCAGGAAGTGAAGGGTTCCTGAGGACATTCGAAGTAACTTTCTCCTCAGCGAAATTGCAATCCGCGGTTTTGTTTACGAATTATTAACGAAAAACAGTGACCAATGAGAGACGAGATCGGCTGGCGCGAAACGGCCTTGCGTCACATCTCATTGACCAGTGTTTTTTTGTTAATAATTCGTGAACGATGCCTCGGAGAAAATGTTTGTAAAAGGGGCAAGATGAGGGCAAAAAGATTCCTCTCGCGCCATCAATTTCCTGGCAACTGTAATTCTGCCTGACGTTACTGATAATTGTAAGCTTTTGCGGGAAAACTGGAACATCCTGTCAGTCCATTGTGCGATTGAGATGTTTCGTAGAATATTTTCGAATTGACGTGATTATTAGGGACGCGCGTACTCTACCGATGCCAGTATGCTCTAAATGATCGCAGACGTGATTTATTCGAAGGTAGAATCCGATACAATTGCAGAATCCCGCAGAACTGGATTACGAGCGCAGGACAGCGCTGTTCGCCCTGAAACACTTCGAGAGACTCGTCGAAACGACGAGGATGACTCTGCTAGGGCCTGGCTGCCGAGAAACGCTCACGGCAGCATTAGACACTGCCATCGAGAGGACGCACGATTTCACTGACAGCGCGTACACCAGCCACGAGCACAGAGAGAACATCCTCCTGCTCTGCGACCGAGTGAAATTGGAGCTGAACTCGCTGCTACGTGTTGGCAACAGCATGGTAATATTTTCTCACTTTTCTCATTCCAATTTCGGTAATTAAAGGGTAATTCAAACGTGCAGCGATGTGAATAATCCTAGGCACAAAGTAACTTTTATATTTTGTATATTGAAAAAACATATCACGTTTGTACATTTCTATATCAGAAATAATTGAACGTAAAAATATACAAATACGATATTTTGTTGTATTTTCGTTTAGATATTATATATATTTTTTATATATATTTTATATATATAATTTTATATATATTTTTAGATTTTATATATATATATAAAAGTTATACTGAGTCTACAATTATGCATCACTGTATTTACAAATTACTACTCTATTGTGGACCTATATGCAACAGAAGAATTTTCTGTATCAATTGTAAGATATAAATATAATAATATAATGTATAAATTATATTTCGTTCGCTCTCTGTTTTCAATCATTTTAATAGATTAACATTTTAAATTGCGTTTACTCAGTTCTGCCATAAATGTATAAAATTGTAAAAATGTATAAAATTCGCAGTCTAATAATCACAAATCCGTAAAAAAACGGCTTGTATATAGGCTATATACAATATATTGGAGTATATTTTATCGGAGTGAGCTCTGAAGATCAGAGTTTTCGATAAAAAGTCGACGATCGCCGGCGTTCAATAAATGGGAAAGCCGCAACGCCAATAATGGCTACGTGCGAACAGAACAATTTGCCGGGGTGAAGTGAAGATTTCATGCGAAAAATTTCATATAATACCGGCTTATTCGCGACAGGGTAATCCGAGATGGCCTGGCCCGCGCTGAAAAGAGCTGACCTGCCGTCATTAATCCGAATGAATGAGCAGGCTAAACTGAATCAGTTAAGGAGAGCCTGCTATAGATGAATAGACAGTAGCAGCCACGTACCACGGTAAAAAAAAACGCAGAAAGCCACTTCCCCCTTTGATGGAGGACTGTGCATTCACCAAAATCTCTATGGGAGATTGGAACGAACAATTCCTTTCTATTGGTAACACCGTTCAATGAAATTCTAACTTTTCATCGGATTTATAACTGCGAAGAAGCCGAACACGAATCTGTGAATTTCCATAACTGTTGCGCGTGATTTTTGATAAAATTCGATAGATCTCTGGAAACTGAATACAAATCTGTGAATTTTTATTAATCTTGTGCTTTGAAGGAAATCGCTATGGATTAGTACAATTCTAACGTGCATAGTAATATTTTGTAGATTCTCCTGAGATGATAAACTGAGAATAAATAAAATGTGCCAACTGTTGCAAATGTTCTGCAAATTTTTTTGTAAAATTGACGAAAGTTATTTAAAATTTGTTAATTTTATAATTTTTTCGCATTTATATGCATTCATGGCAAAAATGAGTGACTTGAAATATAAAATTGTGAAGACATAAGAAGAAATCAGTAATTGTATTACGCTATTTTTTAGAATTCCCAAAATTATTAAAAGGAATAATATATTTTTATTTAATTCCTGTTTCTTATAATCGTCTTTGAACATTTCTGTTTCACAGGAAGATCCGCAGATTAGTTAGAAATCACATTCGAATGTTTTTGCATATAGCAATTAGATATTTCGTCCAGTTTTTTATATGAATTGAAATCAGCTAAAAGTGTTTTTTACATTATTATTATTATTTTAAAAGTCATTCGCGAAAATTTAAAGTTACAATTCTGAACACGTGTCGAACAGTATGATTTACGCATTCTTAACTTTTTATATTTACGTATTGGAATTTTGCTAGCACAATGGTATGACCAAGAATTCATTGTTCCTATGATATACTAAAGAAGCCACATTTTATTACGATGTGTGCAATACAGAACGAACGATTGAGCGGTAACCACGATAAATATTGACCTTTCAGTTCCTATATCACTCAATAAATTGCTTCGATTTTATGGGACTTTTATGGGCGATGGGTTTAGCATTCAACGAGTTAGTGATCGATAGACAACAGATGTTCACACAAACTGCGTTCCTCCGAACTGTTTTCGAAGAGCGTGAACGAAGCAACATTTTCTCCGTATATACAATTTGAAAGTTAACAGTTAGATGAAAATTTCAGTAATAGATTCGATATTCTCTTGCTTCGTTATTATCATTTCAAAATATCCTTCAAAATGTGCAAAACTGTATTGTGTCAGCTAATTGATTATATTTCATTCTTATAAAAAGAAATACTATTTAATAAATACCAAAATAAACATAAACATGAAATACATACACAAATATTTTGTTATGCGAATTGTGACAGAAATATCGTCTTCAAGTAACCGTTTGAAGCTCCTACTACAAAATATAGAATTGCAATATATATTATGTTATAAAATCAAGCGCATATAACAAATAACACTTCCATTAATAGGAAAATAAATAATTGCTTGAAATTAACTACAGTTTGGGAAATAATTTCTAAAAACATGTTAATCGTTTATTTCAATTTTTATTCAATCATATCCAGTTGACAGATATTTACTTGTTAAATAATTTAAAGCGACAGCGTTTTATATTCGAGTTTCCACTAAATAAATTCACGCCGGGAAGTATAACATTATTCCCGACGAAGAAGTTGCAAATAGGGACGAGAAATGTAGCTACGGATTGTTGTTACTTTGCAGCAAAACTATGAAGGTGGTAGTGGTTCTCCGAGTGCTGAAATGGAGCAAGCTGTACAAGCAGTATTCAATGCGACGAAAGATCTTCGACAGCAGCTTTGCGCGACTGCGATGGAGCAGATGGCTGATCTAGGCCAGGTGACCAAAGCGGGTCTGGAACTCGTGTCCACGATCAAGAATCTTGCTTTGGCCAACGACATCAATAGCTTCGAAGAGACAAAATTTGAGGAGTACCTTGACCACATTGTCGAAGTAAGTGCCTTATTCCGGATCGAACGAAATTTTATCGACGATTCATTCTACCTTTAAAATTACATACTTCGTCCGATTGAAGTAAAACTCGATTCAATTTTATCCGATAATCTGTTAAATACTTCCTAGTTAGTCTTCGTTGTCGATCAAATAAAATTCAGTGGTAAATAGCAATGTATATACAGGGTGTCCTAGTTTCTTTCTGTGAAACTTTACCAGCATATTCTACAATTAAAAATATAAAAATACACGAACACAGATTTTTAAATGCTTTCTTAAAAAGTGCACGACCATAAATAAAGTGCATGTCACCGAATTCACGATTCAAAAATACTCGCGCGGCATCTTACTATAAAATCGTACAGCGTAAACGATAGATATGACAGCCAATTTAACGGCCTCAGCAAGTAAACATTAAAGTTTATGGAGACATGCGAGATAGATTATAACAATGGGATGTAAAGGTGACGAGTTCGATTAATGTTCGATTAATGTTCGATTAAACTCTCAGAAAACCACGATATTAACATTGTGGTTTAAATATTTCTTTCGTTATTTTAATTTCTTTAGTCGAAAGCAACAGACTCGGTGTTATTGTTATATGGCTCACCCTGTATATATACAGGAGTATAACCTGCTTATACACTAATATAGTATAATTAATAATAAAAAAATCTGAAAATTGGAACGTAATACTGCATTCATGAAAAATGTTGTTAAATTTCGTTAAAATTGTCGTTTTACACGTAACAATAAATATCGGCTACAAGAACGATAGAATGTTCTTGCATAGTGAATCTTTCATCGTTTGTGTACGCTCGTACTGCACAGAGAGAAAGAGATGTGCAATCAGCAAATAACTGTTCTTTTATGAACATGCACAGGAACCAGGACTTATGAATCTATACGTTAACAGGTGTGCAGAATAATCAGACACGTTGCGCCGACGGAGACACTCTCAGTTTCAGCGAAGTTCACAGCGATTAATTTGAAAATGTACGGTCCCCAAGTGCTCACAGCGGCGCGAACGTTGGCAAGGCACCCGACTAGCAAAATCGCGAAAGAGAATCTGGAAGGTAACTGAACTTATAACAAAGAACGCAAACTCTTCCATTTAACACTCGGATGACGGACATTTTTGACAAAAATGGCGTGGAACATTTATAATTTTATTTGTGAATTTTTCTGAATTCATTGTTTATTCCAAGACATGATCATTTTTCTACAGATCTTAATGAAACATGAGAAAATTTGTATTAAATTTTGGAAACTAGGTAATAAAATAACAATATTTATAAACTGGGTATAAATCGACCCGACCCCCATCGTACGAGTGTTAAATGACAATTTAGCCAATAAGAGTAGCAAAATCGTTTCTTTAATTTCAACAATTTTCGATCGTCCAGTATTAGCAATTAGAACTTTGACGATTGTAGAACTTTTGTGTCAGCTGAAAATTCGCACCCATGCAACTTAATACAGTGTGTATTTAGAAAATATTTAATAATTCGGTAACAATTTTAATGAAACTATTTGTGTGTGTGTGTGTGTGTGTGTGTGTGTGTGTGTGTGTGTGTGTGTGTGTGTGTGTGTGTGTGTGTGTGTGTGTGTGTGTGTGTGTGTGTGTGTGTGTGTGTGTGTGTGTGTGTGTGTGTGTGTGTGTGTGTGTGTGTGTGTGTGTGTGTGTGTGTGTGTGTGTGTGTGTGTGTGTGTGTGTGTGTGTGTGTGTGTGTGTGTGTGTGTGTGTGTGTGTGTGTGTGTGTGTGTGTGTGTGTGTGTGTGTGTGTGTGTGTGTGTGTGTGTGTGTGTGTGTGTGTGTGTGTGTGTGTGTGTGTGTGTGTGTGTGTGTGTGTGTGTGTGTGTGTGTGTGTGTGTGTGTGTGTGTGTGTGTGTGTGTGTGTGTGTGTGTGTGTGTGTGTGTGTGTGTGTGTGTGTGTGTGTGTGTGTGTGTGTGTGTGTGTGTGTGTGTGTGTGTGTGTGTGTGTGTGTGTGTGTGTGTGTGTGTGTGTGTGTGTGTGTGTGTGTGTGTGTGTGTGTGTGTGTGTGTGTGTGTGTGTGTGTGTGTGTGTGTGTGTGTGTGTGTGTGTGTGTGTGTGTGTGTGTGTGTGTGTGTGTGTGTGTGTGTGTGTGTGTGTGTGTGTGTGTGTGTGTGTGTGTGTGTGTGTGTGTGTGTGTGTGTGTGTGTGTGTGTGTGTGTGTGTGTGTGTGTGTGTGTGTGTGTGTGTGTGTGTGTGTGTGTGTGTGTGTGTGTGTGTGTGTGTGTGTGTGTGTGTGTGTGTGTGTGTGTGTGTGTGTGTGTGTGTGTGTGTGTGTGTGTGTGTGTGTGTGTGTGTGTGTGTGTGTGTGTGTGTGTGTGTGTGTGTGTGTGTGTGTGTGTGTGTGTGTGTGTGTGTGTGTGTGTGTGTGTGTGTGTGTGTGTGTGTGTGTGTGTGTGTGTGTGTGTGTGTGTGTGTGTGTGTGTGTGTGTGTGTGTGTGTGTGTGTGTGTGTGTGTGTGTGTGTGTGTGTGTGTGTGTGTGTGTGTGTGTGTGTGTGTGTGTGTGTGTGTGTGTGTGTGTGTGTGTGTGTGTGTGTGTGTGTGTGTGTGTGTGTGTGTGTGTGTGTGTGTGTGTGTGTGTGTGTGTGTGTGTGTGTGTGTGTGTGTGTGTGTGTGTGTGTGTGTGTGTGTGTGTGTGTGTGTGTGTGTGTGTGTGTGTGTGTGTGTGTGTGTGTGTGTGTGTGTGTGTGTGTGTGTGTGTGTGTGTGTGTGTGTGTGTGTGTGTGTGTGTGTGTGTGTGTGTGTGTGTGTGTGTGTGTGTGTGTGTGTGTGTGTGTGTGTGTGTGTGTGTGTGTGTGTGTGTGTGTGTGTGTGTGTGTGTGTGTGTGTGTGTGTGTGTGTGTGTGTGTGTGTGTGTGTGTGTGTGTGTGTGTGTGTGTGTGTGTGTGTGTGTGTGTGTGTGTGTGTGTGTGTGTGTGTGTGTGTGTGTGTGTGTGTGTGTGTGTGTGTGTGTGTGTGTGTGTGTGTGTGTGTGTGTGTGTGTGTGTGTGTGTGTGTGTGTGTGTGTGTGTGTGTGTGTGTGTGTGTGTGTGTGTGTGTGTGTGTGTGTGTGTGTGTGTGTGTGTGTGTGTGTGTGTGTGTGTGTGTGTGTGTGTGTGTGTGTGTGTGTGTGTGTGTGTGTGTGTGTGTGTGTGTGTGTGTGTGTGTGTGTGTGTGTGTGTGTGTGTGTGTGTGTGTGTGTGTGTGTGTGTGTGTGTGTGTGTGTGTGTGTGTGTGTGTGTGTGTGTGTGTGTGTGTGTGTGTGTGTGTGTGTGTGTGTGTGTGTGTGTGTGTGTGTGTGTGTGTGTGTGTGTGTGTGTGTGTGTGTGTGTGTGTGTGTGTGTGTGTGTGTGTGTGTGTGTGTGTGTGTGTGTGTGTGTGTGTGTGTGTGTGTGTGTGTGTGTGTGTGTGTGTGTGTGTGTGTGTGTGTGTGTGTGTGTGTGTGTGTGTGTGTGTGTGTGTGTGTGTGTGTGTGTGTGTGTGTGTGTGTGTGTGTGTGTGTGTGTGTGTGTGTGTGTGTGTGTGTGTGTGTGTGTGTGTGTGTGTGTGTGTGTGTGTGTGTGTGTGTGTGTGTGTGTGTGTGTGTGTGTGTGTGTGTGTGTGTGTGTGTGTGTGTGTGTGTGTGTGTGTGTGTGTGTGTGTGTGTGTGTGTGTGTGTGTGTGTGTGTGTGTGTGTGTGTGTGTGTGTGTGTGTGTGTGTGTGTGTGTGTGTGTGTGTGTGTGTGTGTGTGTGTGTGTGTGTGTGTGTGTGTGTGTGTGTGTGTGTGTGTGTGTGTGTGTGTGTGTGTGTGTGTGTGTGTGTGTGTGTGTGTGTGTGTGTGTGTGTGTGTGTGTGTGTGTGTGTGTGTGTGTGTGTGTGTGTGTGTGTGTGTGTGTGTGTGTGTGTGTGTGTGTGTGTGTGTGTGTGTGTGTGTGTGTGTGTGTGTGTGTGTGTGTGTGTGTGTGTGTGTGTGTGTGTGTGTGTGTGTGTGTGTGTGTGTGTGTGTGTGTGTGTGTGTGTGTGTGTGTGTGTGTGTGTGTGTGTGTGTGTGTGTGTGTGTGTGTGTGTGTGTGTGTGTGTGTGTGTGTGTGTGTGTGTGTGTGTGTGTGTGTGTGTGTGTGTGTGTGTGTGTGTGTGTGTGTGTGTGTGTGTGTGTGTGTGTGTGTGTGTGTGTGTGTGTGTGTGTGTGTGTGTGTGTGTGTGTGTGTGTGTGTGTGTGTGTGTGTGTGTGTGTGTGTGTGTGTGTGTGTGTGTGTGTGTGTGTGTGTGTGTGTGTGTGTGTGTGTGTGTGTGTGTGTGTGTGTGTGTGTGTGTGTGTGTGTGTGTGTGTGTGTGTGTGTGTGTGTGTGTGTGTGTGTGTGTGTGTGTGTGTGTGTGTGTGTGTGTGTGTGTGTGTGTGTGTGTGTGTGTGTGTGTGTGTGTGTGTGTGTGTGTGTGTGTGTGTGTGTGTGTGTGTGTGTGTGTGTGTGTGTGTGTGTGTGTGTGTGTGTGTGTGTGTGTGTGTGTGTGTGTGTGTGTGTGTGTGTGTGTGTGTGTGTGTGTGTGTGTGTGTGTGTGTGTGTGTGTGTGTGTGTGTGTGTGTGTGTGTGTGTGTGTGTGTGTGTGTGTGTGTGTGTGTGTGTGTGTGTGTGTGTGTGTGTGTGTGTGTGTGTGTGTGTGTGTGTGTGTGTGTGTGTGTGTGTGTGTGTGTGTGTGTGTGTGTGTGTGTGTGTGTGTGTGTGTGTGTGTGTGTGTGTGTGTGTGTGTGTGTGTGTGTGTGTGTGTGTGTGTGTGTGTGTGTGTGTGTGTGTGTGTGTGTGTGTGTGTGTGTGTGTGTGTGTGTGTGTGTGTGTGTGTGTGTGTGTGTGTGTGTGTGTGTGTGTGTGTGTGTGTGTGTGTGTGTGTGTGTGTGTGTGTGTGTGTGTGTGTGTGTGTGTGTGTGTGTGTGTGTGTGTGTGTGTGTGTGTGTGTGTGTGTGTGTGTGTGTGTGTGTGTGTGTGTGTGTGTGTGTGTGTGTGTGTGTGTGTGTGTGTGTGTGTGTGTGTGTGTGTGTGTGTGTGTGTGTGTGTGTGTGTGTGTGTGTGTGTGTGTGTGTGTGTGTGTGTGTGTGTGTGTGTGTGTGTGTGTGTGTGTGTGTGTGTGTGTGTGTGTGTGTGTGTGTGTGTGTGTGTGTGTGTGTGTGTGTGTGTGTGTGTGTGTGTGTGTGTGTGTGTGTGTGTGTGTGTGTGTGTGTGTGTGTGTGTGTGTGTGTGTGTGTGTGTGTGTGTGTGTGTGTGTGTGTGTGTGTGTGTGTGTGTGTGTGTGTGTGTGTGTGTGTGTGTGTGTGTGTGTGTGTGTGTGTGTGTGTGTGTGTGTGTGTGTGTGTGTGTGTGTGTGTGTGTGTGTGTGTGTGTGTGTGTGTGTGTGTGTGTGTGTGTGTGTGTGTGTGTGTGTGTGTGTGTGTGTGTGTGTGTGTGTGTGTGTGTGTGTGTGTGTGTGTGTGTGTGTGTGTGTGTGTGTGTGTGTGTGTGTGTGTGTGTGTGTGTGTGTGTGTGTGTGTGTGTGTGTGTGTGTGTGTGTGTGTGTGTGTGTGTGTGTGTGTGTGTGTGTGTGTGTGTGTGTGTGTGTGTGTGTGTGTGTGTGTGTGTGTGTGTGTGTGTGTGTGTGTGTGTGTGTGTGTGTGTGTGTGTGTGTGTGTGTGTGTGTGTGTGTGTGTGTGTGTGTGTGTGTGTGTGTGTGTGTGTGTGTGTGTGTGTGTGTGTGTGTGTGTGTGTGTGTGTGTGTGTGTGTGTGTGTGTGTGTGTGTGTGTGTGTGTGTGTGTGTGTGTGTGTGTGTGTGTGTGTGTGTGTGTGTGTGTGTGTGTGTGTGTGTGTGTGTGTGTGTGTGTGTGTGTGTGTGTGTGTGTGTGTGTGTGTGTGTGTGTGTGTGTGTGTGTGTGTGTGTGTGTGTGTGTGTGTGTGTGTGTGTGTGTGTGTGTGTGTGTGTGTGTGTGTGTGTGTGTGTGTGTGTGTGTGTGTGTGTGTGTGTGTGTGTGTGTGTGTGTGTGTGTGTGTGTGTGTGTGTGTGTGTGTGTGTGTGTGTGTGTGTGTGTGTGTGTGTGTGTGTGTGTGTGTGTGTGTGTGTGTGTGTGTGTGTGTGTGTGTGTGTGTGTGTGTGTGTGTGTGTGTGTGTGTGTGTGTGTGTGTGTGTGTGTGTGTGTGTGTGTGTGTGTGTGTGTGTGTGTGTGTGTGTGTGTGTGTGTGTGTGTGTGTGTGTGTGTGTGTGTGTGTGTGTGTGTGTGTGTGTGTGTGTGTGTGTGTGTGTGTGTGTGTGTGTGTGTGTGTGTGTGTGTGTGTGTGTGTGTGTGTGTGTGTGTGTGTGTGTGTGTGTGTGTGTGTGTGTGTGTGTGTGTGTGTGTGTGTGTGTGTGTGTGTGTGTGTGTGTGTGTGTGTGTGTGTGTGTGTGTGTGTGTGTGTGTGTGTGTGTGTGTGTGTGTGTGTGTGTGTGTGTGTGTGTGTGTGTGTGTGTGTGTGTGTGTGTGTGTGTGTGTGTGTGTGTGTGTGTGTGTGTGTGTGTGTGTGTGTGTGTGTGTGTGTGTGTGTGTGTGTGTGTGTGTGTGTGTGTGTGTGTGTGTGTGTGTGTGTGTGTGTGTGTGTGTGTGTGTGTGTGTGTGTGTGTGTGTGTGTGTGTGTGTGTGTGTGTGTGTGTGTGTGTGTGTGTGTGTGTGTGTGTGTGTGTGTGTGTGTGTGTGTGTGTGTGTGTGTGTGTGTGTGTGTGTGTGTGTGTGTGTGTGTGTGTGTGTGTGTGTGTGTGTGTGTGTGTGTGTGTGTGTGTGTGTGTGTGTGTGTGTGTGTGTGTGTGTGTGTGTGTGTGTGTGTGTGTGTGTGTGTGTGTGTGTGTGTGTGTGTGTGTGTGTGTGTGTGTGTGTGTGTGTGTGTGTGTGTGTGTGTGTGTGTGTGTGTGTGTGTGTGTGTGTGTGTGTGTGTGTGTGTGTGTGTGTGTGTGTGTGTGTGTGTGTGTGTGTGTGTGTGTGTGTGTGTGTGTGTGTGTGTGTGTGTGTGTGTGTGTGTGTGTGTGTGTGTGTGTGTGTGTGTGTGTGTGTGTGTGTGTGTGTGTGTGTGTGTGTGTGTGTGTGTGTGTGTGTGTGTGTGTGTGTGTGTGTGTGTGTGTGTGTGTGTGTGTGTGTGTGTGTGTGTGTGTGTGTGTGTGTGTGTGTGTGTGTGTGTGTGTGTGTGTGTGTGTGTGTGTGTGTGTGTGTGTGTGTGTGTGTGTGTGTGTGTGTGTGTGTGTGTGTGTGTGTGTGTGTGTGTGTGTGTGTGTGTGTGTGTGTGTGTGTGTGTGTGTGTGTGTGTGTGTGTGTGTGTGTGTGTGTGTGTGTGTGTGTGTGTGTGTGTGTGTGTGTGTGTGTGTGTGTGTGTGTGTGTGTGTGTGTGTGTGTGTGTGTGTGTGTGTGTGTGTGTGTGTGTGTGTGTGTGTGTGTGTGTGTGTGTGTGTGTGTGTGTGTGTGTGTGTGTGTGTGTGTGTGTGTGTGTGTGTGTGTGTGTGTGTGTGTGTGTGTGTGTGTGTGTGTGTGTGTGTGTGTGTGTGTGTGTGTGTGTGTGTGTGTGTGTGTGTGTGTGTGTGTGTGTGTGTGTGTGTGTGTGTGTGTGTGTGTGTGTGTGTGTGTGTGTGTGTGTGTGTGTGTGTGTGTGTGTGTGTGTGTGTGTGTGTGTGTGTGTGTGTGTGTGTGTGTGTGTGTGTGTGTGTGTGTGTGTGTGTGTGTGTGTGTGTGTGTGTGTGTGTGTGTGTGTGTGTGTGTGTGTGTGTGTGTGTGTGTGTGTGTGTGTGTGTGTGTGTGTGTGTGTGTGTGTGTGTGTGTGTGTGTGTGTGTGTGTGTGTGTGTGTGTGTGTGTGTGTGTGTGTGTGTGTGTGTGTGTGTGTGTGTGTGTGTGTGTGTGTGTGTGTGTGTGTGTGTGTGTGTGTGTGTGTGTGTGTGTGTGTGTGTGTGTGTGTGTGTGTGTGTGTGTGTGTGTGTGTGTGTGTGTGTGTGTGTGTGTGTGTGTGTGTGTGTGTGTGTGTGTGTGTGTGTGTGTGTGTGTGTGTGTGTGTGTGTGTGTGTGTGTGTGTGTGTGTGTGTGTGTGTGTGTGTGTGTGTGTGTGTGTGTGTGTGTGTGTGTGTGTGTGTGTGTGTGTGTGTGTGTGTGTGTGTGTGTGTGTGTGTGTGTGTGTGTGTGTGTGTGTGTGTGTGTGTGTGTGTGTGTGTGTGTGTGTGTGTGTGTGTGTGTGTGTGTGTGTGTGTGTGTGTGTGTGTGTGTGTGTGTGTGTGTGTGTGTGTGTGTGTGTGTGTGTGTGTGTGTGTGTGTGTGTGTGTGTGTGTGTGTGTGTGTGTGTGTGTGTGTGTGTGTGTGTGTGTGTGTGTGTGTGTGTGTGTGTGTGTGTGTGTGTGTGTGTGTGTGTGTGTGTGTGTGTGTGTGTGTGTGTGTGTGTGTGTGTGTGTGTGTGTGTGTGTGTGTGTGTGTGTGTGTGTGTGTGTGTGTGTGTGTGTGTGTGTGTGTGTGTGTGTGTGTGTGTGTGTGTGTGTGTGTGTGTGTGTGTGTGTGTGTGTGTGTGTGTGTGTGTGTGTGTGTGTGTGTGTGTGTGTGTGTGTGTGTGTGTGTGTGTGTGTGTGTGTGTGTGTGTGTGTGTGTGTGTGTGTGTGTGTGTGTGTGTGTGTGTGTGTGTGTGTGTGTGTGTGTGTGTGTGTGTGTGTGTGTGTGTGTGTGTGTGTGTGTGTGTGTGTGTGTGTGTGTGTGTGTGTGTGTGTGTGTGTGTGTGTGTGTGTGTGTGTGTGTGTGTGTGTGTGTGTGTGTGTGTGTGTGTGTGTGTGTGTGTGTGTGTGTGTGTGTGTGTGTGTGTGTGTGTGTGTGTGTGTGTGTGTGTGTGTGTGTGTGTGTGTGTGTGTGTGTGTGTGTGTGTGTGTGTGTGTGTGTGTGTGTGTGTGTGTGTGTGTGTGTGTGTGTGTGTGTGTGTGTGTGTGTGTGTGTGTGTGTGTGTGTGTGTGTGTGTGTGTGTGTGTGTGTGTGTGTGTGTGTGTGTGTGTGTGTGTGTGTGTGTGTGTGTGTGTGTGTGTGTGTGTGTGTGTGTGTGTGTGTGTGTGTGTGTGTGTGTGTGTGTGTGTGTGTGTGTGTGTGTGTGTGTGTGTGTGTGTGTGTGTGTGTGTGTGTGTGTGTGTGTGTGTGTGTGTGTGTGTGTGTGTGTGTGTGTGTGTGTGTGTGTGTGTGTGTGTGTGTGTGTGTGTGTGTGTGTGTGTGTGTGTGTGTGTGTGTGTGTGTGTGTGTGTGTGTGTGTGTGTGTGTGTGTGTGTGTGTGTGTGTGTGTGTGTGTGTGTGTGTGTGTGTGTGTGTGTGTGTGTGTGTGTGTGTGTGTGTGTGTGTGTGTGTGTGTGTGTGTGTGTGTGTGTGTGTGTGTGTGTGTGTGTGTGTGTGTGTGTGTGTGTGTGTGTGTGTGTGTGTGTGTGTGTGTGTGTGTGTGTGTGTGTGTGTGTGTGTGTGTGTGTGTGTGTGTGTGTGTGTGTGTGTGTGTGTGTGTGTGTGTGTGTGTGTGTGTGTGTGTGTGTGTGTGTGTGTGTGTGTGTGTGTGTGTGTGTGTGTGTGTGTGTGTGTGTGTGTGTGTGTGTGTGTGTGTGTGTGTGTGTGTGTGTGTGTGTGTGTGTGTGTGTGTGTGTGTGTGTGTGTGTGTGTGTGTGTGTGTGTGTGTGTGTGTGTGTGTGTGTGTGTGTGTGTGTGTGTGTGTGTGTGTGTGTGTGTGTGTGTGTGTGTGTGTGTGTGTGTGTGTGTGTGTGTGTGTGTGTGTGTGTGTGTGTGTGTGTGTGTGTGTGTGTGTGTGTGTGTGTNGTATAACAAAGTATTATATTTATTACTAGTCAACGAATAAAGAATAGAATCAGGCATTGCTTTAAAGAGTTCTTAAAAGACGCTACATATATATAATAAAAAACAAACAAACATCGCAAGGCAAATGTAATAGATGGTTTTCAACGACCATTTAAAACAAAGTTACGAAACAGTAATTTGTTAAAATTATTCCGAGTATTCTGTCAGTTTTAAGAAATATTGATTCCAAAATGAGTTATTAAATTTTGATTATTGTTGAAAATTGTTCGAATATCATAAACATAATTTTTTACATACAATGTTGTCCATATATACAGATTATAAAAATATTGGCGTTATTTATTCTAAGAAATGAAAGTCCAATCAGATGAAAGTTACAAAAAATTTCAATTAAAATTGTTACACCAGAGAAACATATTAACTAATAACTATTGTGTCCGCAATCATAAACACATACCCAAAGAATACTTGCTAACTCGGAAAGAAAGTGCAAAAGAATATGTATACCTCAGAAGTATAAATCAACTTCTCTTTATTGGGATGGTAATCGTCGTTGCCTTTAGTGATTTTTTACTAATGTCCGGTCGATTGCTTCCAAACAGAAGATACTGGTATGAAGAGAAATAAAATGATCACAAAGTCATTACAACAGGCCGATAGAAAAGTTCATAATAATTTAAAGGATAATTATCTACAGATTCTTTCTTTCATAATATTTCTCAGAAATGCGAAACGTTAATTTAATTAAAAATTGTTTTTTAAAACATAGCACGTTATATAAATTTACGGTGGTCGGTTCTTACGTGTAAGATCGATTCTGCAATTAATAAAATTATTTTCTTGTATTCTTCATCGACGATAACGCCGGTCTTAATTAACGATCTCTTTCTCGTGTATATACAATAATACAATAAAAAATTCTTTCAAATCATACAATCAGAAAAAAATAAAGTAATTAACGTTCGAGTGAAATACAATAACGTGCTGGAGTCGTTGTTAACCGATAAACGAACACGTTTGCCTTGCGACACGATTGAAGACGCAAGTTTTTACATGACGTCGCATGGGCGTAGGTACCTCCTGGCCCGCACAAGAAAGACCTCCTGGAAAACCTCGATCGTGTGCCGACGTACGTCCAGCAGCTCCAGTTCACCGTGAAAAACCCCACCGTCGGAAAGGCCGCCACCTTCACGAAAGTCGACAACGTGATCCAAGAAACAAAGAATCTGATGAACGTGATTTCGAAAGTGGTCACAACATGTTTCGTCTGCGCCACAAAGGTAAGGGTCACAATCACCACGGTCCGACCACTCGGATCGTTTCTCTATGTTACACACGACGAATTCAAGTATAATAAGCATAGTACTATATATTTTCTTTACTGTCTACTTTTGTATTTTATTCCTTATTTTTCGAACTTATTTTTTTTTCTGCTCGGAAGCGGGAAGATGTTCAGTCTTTGCTCCCTCGGCACACGCTTCTCTGCGACACTGGATCAAAATGAGTATTTATTTTTTACATTGTCAATATTCCGTTTCCGAATTTGCGTTCCGACTTGCATAATTTATTCGATGAGCGAGCAAAGATTGGGCGATACTTGGTTTTTACCGTAGCTAGCTTTGTGTCGGCAGAAGATCTGTGTATTTCGATTTTTGATTTCGCGTACAGCTGCGCGTTAAATCGTTGAATCTGTGATAAATTCTGTGCGAATATTTCGTTCTTGCATGTCCCCGATTCTTAATTGACATCGTCGATGGTGATTCGTAAATATTATAAAATAAATTCTGTCCATAATACAGTTCATTATGTTACTGTAACTATATTCAGTTCGGTTTTATTCGTTGAATTCATACAAATCTCTGTCATTGTTCGTAATAATTTTGTTAGAACCAGGTATTTTCTGAGAGATATTTCTAAGAGTACCTTATAAAAGCTAAGATTAAGTAAGTGTCGAACACATAATCTCGTTACTATAGTTCACATACCCTTTTCTAACGCGAGCTTCAATTATTTGCTCAACAATCAATTTTTTAAGCTCTTCAATGATATTTTATGAAATAGTTTGTAATACTGAATTTAACTATTTAACCATAATATCTATTTGTACATCAAGAGTTGTTTAAGTATCACTTGCACTCTTACATACAGAATGGGCTTCTAAGAACTGCTTTCCGAAATAACTCAGTCATGAAAAAAATTAGTAGATTCAAAGCATAATAATAAAAATACTTAAAGAATTATAAAATACCATTAGAAAAGAAGAAAGGAAAAATAAAGGTGCCTGACTTTTGTTTGGAGTTCAGTTTAGTTTCTACTGACATTTCTTTAATAATATCTATTGAATTATGATTTACTGTCATTTATTAATTTGTTGTCACTTACTTTCCACAATTCAATTTCAAATAAAAAGATAATTACTTTTGGACAGCCTATTTGTCATTCTCATTCGTTCACTTTTTCTTCCCACTGTGTTGACCAATCAAGATCAGTCCTGATGTCGATAGCACTTTTAATTTTTACCCATTTAGTTATCTTTCATTTTTATATCTACTTTCGATTTATTTACATAGATCTGTGCAATTTTGTCATCGGTTGAACATTAATCCTAGTGAGCCTGAAACGTAGATTATTACAAAACTGCATCAAACGGAAACGAACGAGTTCGAGTAACTAAATCTTGTCACGAAGCATAAGCAAAAGAAGACGTTTGATGAAACGAGCCATCGAAATATCCGCACAGAGTCCACGCAGCATAGAATGCCGCAACGCCAAAACTCATGTCACGCCTTAAAGTGTCTACATGTCCTTCCATGTATTCATCGACTAGCACAATCTCACCATGCCGCAGTACGTGGAGTTGAGTCCGACGACGGTGCCCGGCCTAAGCGAAGAGGACTGCTTGTACCCAGTTAGCCCCCAAATGCTTCCGTCGACGAGTCCCTACGTGCAGCCCCATCCCCTGACCTCCACCCAATTGCACAACATCTTAAGGGTGCCTAGCCTGAACTTCCCGCCCTTTAATTACAACACGCTACCGGTCACGAGTTCCTCCGGTTCGACCGGTTCACGTAGCTCCGCATCCTTCGTACATCCGTCCGTCCTCCCTTATTCGACCCCAACCGGCTCGGCAACCTGCGGACCGCAGGCGCCCCATTGCCTTCAGAATCTACAGCTACTGCAGCTGCAACTGCATCACGCACAGCTGCAGCATCTAAGACACGCCACTCTACCGAGATAACACAGACTCTCGTTGCACCGTGAAGGTCGCATGTGTTCACGTGCGCGGCCACGATGCTACCGTGCACACGTTCATCCGCTGTTCTTTCGTTTGCACAGGTTCGACTCTCGTTTATTTCCACTTCTTCTGTCTCTTTGGTTTGCTTTTCGTTTTGTTCCGTTTACGCGTCCTGTGACGCGTTTCCGTCGTCTCGTTGCTTCTCTCTGTCGCGGTGCACTCGTTTCACGGCCTCGGTTCCGTTACCGTTTTCTATTCTCCGTTCCGCGGGCGAATCGCGCGGCGTCGTTCAATAAGGATGATCGAATCACGATCGATCGATGTCCTCTAGGGTGTTCCCTGATTGTCCCGGGAACGAGGCTGCTACGCGGAAAGGGCTATTCGAATCGCTGAAGTTGATATCGCGTTCTGGGAATATCCTGATAACGAGCGTGGAATGGTATTTGTTTCGTTTGTCGCGTTGCGTGGGACGAACTGTTCGCTAATAACGCGGCGACATTTGTTTAAGAATTCCACTTCAATAATTTTTTTACCACCGCGACAAACTGTTCTCTGATATTGAGCCGTTTATTTCGAAAGTGGTATAAGTCACTTTGTTTTTAAGTCGATATATTTAATGGTTTGCGTTTTAACACGTTTAAAAATATGGATGCTAACTTTCGAGAAGATTTACTTGTATTTGTTATCTCAGGATACTGATATTTTTCTCAGTATAGATAATTTCGTATAAACATTAAAAAATCACCACTTTTCATTACGGTAAAGTGACTTATGCCACTTTCAAAATAAACGGCTCAATT